ACAATGAATTGACAAATGTCTCCCCCTAGATCAAATCACAACCTTTGACTTGGGATTCCGGTATTTTGTTTTTAGATGCAGCTAAAAGGTTTGGTGATTAGTTTTCCAAAATTTCGGGCGATTTTCGGTGGTCTTTTAAAGGTCATGGCCTCAAACCTCACTTTTCTGATCGCATTATGATTGCTATTTCATCCTAGGTAGAAGCTTAAAGCAATTAAGGAAAAAAGTATTTGATATTCGTTCCGTAGTAATTTGGAAATGGAATATAATTCTAAACTTTTAGTCACTCTTGGCCTTTTGCCACCAACGAAAACCATTATTCATATTTTTCAACAAGGCGATTTCAAAATGGAAGTAGGCACAAACTTTGATGAACAAACAACGTTTAGAATTTCCTAAAGTTGGTTTCAAATTTCTCTTTAACATAGATTTAAAGCATGATTAAGTGGAACTCTAATTTTTTTTCAATTTAAAAGGGAACAGAAGGGTCATTATTAGCTGGATATATTTATTAAAAAATTTATTCGATAATGTATATTAAAAGCAAGTAAATTATTTTTTTAAGTTTTCATTTATAATTCTCTTCGAACTATTTCATACTGTTTCTGTTCATTGTCTACCTTGAAAATTTGTATTTTGTATAAAAGCATGAAATTATGAATATTTGATATTTAGTATGGAGTTAAAATGTTTCCATCACTCAAAGGCCTTCGGAAATACTAATTTTAACACGATGAAGTAGTTAAAATAGATTGATTTTCAAAGATCAACAATAGAATTCCATTTATTTCATATTTTTCGTTCAAAATAAAATCGGTTTTTTTCACAGCACGAATTAAATAAAAATGTGCATTGAGAAAAACAAGTCCCTCTAATTCCGTAATCTGCTAAATAAAAACCACGATTTAACCTGTACTTCTGAAATTTTATTTTGTTATTATTTTGTGCTGGTTTTCTTTACTATTATTCTATGGGGTTTTATTGTACAAGTTTTCTATGTTTATAAAATTGTAGGTAAAGCACCTCTTCTTCAACTGTCAAGATCGTTTGGATATGCCCCCTCACATTTACTCAGTTGCACAGACAATTCTTGCTCGAATAGAGGCAGAATTTCTTGCACGGAAGGACCTATCATCCCCCGCTAGAATAAATGACAATTTTCCTCATACTGTGCGAGATCGAGTTTCCACTGCTTCAATGTCCACAATCAAATTCCCCACTCAAGCCGTCTGTCTGCTAGGACGTTCAGGTTCTGGAAAATCAGTGAATGCGGAATATCTCATTGAGTACCTTCTCACTCCACAGTCAACTCAGTCTTCCAAGTCCTCTCCCCAATACACTAATGAATCAAATCTTACCGGTTCGTAAATGAGAGTTTACTGCCAAAAGAATTGTAGAATTTACAATTTTCATGTATGACAAAATTAGTTCTTTCAATTAGTACAAGATAAAACGCATTTATTAATGACAGTAAATTATGGTACTTACAACTAGACAAATTGTCGTTTTTTCTCATTACCTATTTATTTATTTTTATTTTTTTTATTTATTTTTCACAGAATAAAATTCTTAGGCTTAGTGAGTAAAATGACTTCTTCTCATGGATGTTTAATTTACAGCACCAAATATTTATTTAATTATATCAAATGGCAGACGTTTTGACAGTTATTATAAACCCCTTAGTTGACATCTGGGAAGGAACATCAAAGTAATAAAAAATTCGAGAGTGAGAGTAGAAGTGAGATTCAAAGATGAAAAGGAGATGGACACAAAGGCAGGGAAAAAAGAGAGATGAGTACTGTGGGAGTGGTAGAATATGACATACAGTGGGGCCATTGTAGCTTGAGGTAAGAAGTCAACTGCCAGTGTATAGATCTTTTTGTCGTATGAATATACGTTGCCCAGGGTGCACCACGTGGAGGTAAGTCTATCGCACACCCCTTAGCACCAAATATTTCATGATTATATCATGAATTTAGAAATAGCCTTAACTGATATCTCTACCTTCACTCTGAATTCTCATTTACTCAGACAAATAAAGAGAAACCTTAATTGGTTTTGGTAACAGAAAAACAGTGGTATAGTTGCCTATATTTCAAAAGAATTTATTATGGAAGAGACAAACTCTCATTCAGAAACAATTATTCCACTGTGCAACCGATTGGAAAAGGTTTAGTTTAAGGCATTTGCATAATTTCCAATTTAGCTTTTCACTAATTTAGCACATTTAAAATCTATATTTTTTCACGTACAGTAAATTTTTTTAAACAATGGAAATTAATGTCGCCTTTTCGTAAAGCCGATTAAATTTACCACCTTTTAATCCAGACTGGGGTATATAGCAATGTTAAAAGTGGCATTCTCCTAATTGCACATCTAACTTTGTATAAACAATTGTTTTCTTCCTTGAAGCCCGAAAAATGCGCGCAGTGATGTGCCTATTGGACGCTTTTACCTGTTCACGGACTCTGCTCAACTCCAATGCGAGTCGATGCCTTCGTCTCTTCACAATTGATTTCACAATGGAGAGGGAGATAAGCAGTCCTCGAATCACCGCCTCAGGATTGTACGTTGACATTCTCCTGCTTGATAAGTTCCGTGTCACTCGGCGGCCGCAGGGTGAACCCACATTTCACGTCTTCTACTACTTTTTGGCCGGTCTCGAGGAAGATGTTCGGTGAGTCATTTCTCTGATAGAAGGCGAAAGAAAAAAGAAAACCAATTTCTGGAAATCAGCCCCCCTAACGATTTGCAACCTTCTCATGAAGTTTTGCCTCCCTTAACGTTCTTATTTGTTATGACTAGAAAGCGCATTAGCAAAGGGAAGATTAGAGTTTCAAAATAATTCACAATCACACATTAACTGATTAACTAACCCCCCCCCCCCAGATCTTTCTCTCCACCATAATGGAGAAAGTCAGTAAATTAATGAGCCAACGAAATGATAAATAATCTAATTTTAAATAGCAAAAGCAGTGGTGGTAAATTCGTAGGATTCACTGAAATATTTGATTATCAAGCTGAATCTTTATTCCCTGTTCGCACAAACTATTCGAGGCCGTCTATTCAAATTATATCAGCTTGGAAGAAGTAGGAAAAATCCAGGCCAAATCGCCTACCCTCTCGATTAAGTAGTTTTGAGCGATTTCAATGATAGATGAATTGGAAATATACCACGTCAAAAAGTATTACTAATAAACTTAAATTTAATTAAAAGTTTTATGACTAATTGCTTATCAAATCCAATAGTAACCAAATTTGCTTAAAAACTGATTGATAATTTGCGATCAGAAAAGCGTGAACAGAAATTACCCTTTGAGTACAATCGAGTAATATTTAGGAGAAGAGAATTACCCTTTTCTTATGAAAAGGCTATATTGTACTCCCAACTCACATGAAAAGGAGGCGCTCCAATCTATTTCTAACCTTGCTAAACACATTTTGAAATGTTCCTTTTTGTAAATGTTCTTAAGAGAGAGAGAGAGAGTTTTAAGTTGGAAACTGATAGCCACATCTTTGTCCCTTAGAAGATTGCAGCACGATTGCTTTTTATTTGAAAGAGTTCACTTGTTTCCTGTCCCCTAGAAAGTGAGAATAGTATTTTTTACGTCTCCTAGTTAAAATTGCTACTAGTTAATACTGTGCATTGCGTATTTCCACTTTTTAGAAGAGAATATATGCTGGAGGATCTGATCGCCCCCAATCTCTTTATGACCCCGCTTCAAAGGGTAAGACTTCGTGCCTAATAAATAATAATTCGTTGCCTTTTTTATTTCCATTCTACTGCAGAAAACCCTTTCCTGTTGCCTACACGTAGTGCTATTGCTATACACATGCGAAGTCTACAGCCTGACTATAGACTAACACTGAGAGAGAGTGATGAGTTAATAGGTGCTGTCAAGGTTAAAGCTTATACAACGCGACTGCACTGTAAAATCAAGTATGCACTTCGTTTGAAAATCGAATTTAGAGTTTAGAGTATTCTAGTGTGAAAAGCTATAAATACATCAAGAGTAATATGTGATGCAGATTGATAACGAGCAAGTAATTTATTTATTTCAAATGGCAGGCGTTTTGATAGTTATCATTAGCCATTTAGCTGACTTCGGGCTTCACAGGGGGGAGGTTCATCAAAGTAGCAGAAAGTCGAGGGGTGGGGAACAGAAGAGCGAGGGAGACAGACACAAAGAGGCAGACGGACACAAAGGTAGAGAAAAAGGTAAGGTGAGTACTGTGAAGGGGTCGAATATGACAACCAGGGGGG